AAGAAAACTTTCTAAAAAGTTCTAAAGTTTCTAAAAACTGGACATATTTCTGGGCTTCGAGGCAATTAAATGCACTACTCTTCATGTTTCAGCAGGAATCAACTATAAACAAACATTTCTGACTTCCACATCTCTCTTTTTAAGTTTGCTGTGCCCTAACCCTAAATTCTGGTCTACAATCAGTACTGAAACACCAGGAAGTTCAGTGTTTAAAGGCTGGGCAGCTTTAAGCACGTTTCTCTTTCTCATACGGCCGGAAAGAAAGCAGGCAGTGAAATGACTGCTGCCTGCACCTCTGGGTGAACTCTGCCCCAGAAACTGGTCGAGTGTAGAAGTGGGCTGAATGGGCATTCATCTCCTTCACCTTACTGCAGGGTTTGGATTCCTCTGCCCCTCCCTTCCCTTCCTCTAATGGCACGGTGTGTTCGACTCCTGTCATGTTGTCTTCTTTATGGCCACGTTTTTGTGTCTTATCACAGCTGTAATCACATTTCTTGCTGAGCAGCAGAATGGGACTATTCTTTCCACACTGTAAAAAGTCACGGTGCTTGACAGCCCCCCTATTTTACCTACAACTTCTCTTCTCTGATGCTCCGTACCCGTTAAATGCATACTGTGGGACTGCTCATCAAGTCACTGCTTTGCTGCCTCAATGCCGAGCCTGGAAAATGTAACTGAAGTCAATCACACAATTAAATTTGAGAGTGCTTATCCACTGGAAATGTTGTAGCAGCAGTCTCCTAAAACACATACAGGAAATTAAACAATGATATCATCAGTCTATGTATAACTTTTAATTCAACCTGCTGTACCAGCATACGCCAGGTAACCTGTCCCAGGTGCCAAAATAGCACAAGGCTCATTCCTCTCATTGGGCTATCTTCTGTTTATTGGAGTCTGACTTTAAATTAGCTTTTCAGCTCTTCAGGATATGGCTTACTTCCTGGTATTTCTGCTGGTAGTAATAGCTGGTAATAAACAACATGACTAATATTTGGTGATAAACAGTATTAGCAGCCTGCGTGAACCAAAACTACGTTTCAAGAGCACCTAGATTATTTTACATCAAAACGTTTGAAGGACGAAACAGATAACATTTGATTTCCCACTGCAAGTTGTGATTTAGAGTTTTCTGACCAAGCACTGAAGACCAAAACCCAGAGTTTGGCTGCTAATTAGCCCTGCCCTGCCCAGCATTTCCTCACCTGCGGCCCCTCTGCCCATTCATTCCGTTTAGGATGTGTAACTGAAACACACGGGGAGGCGACAAGTTAAAAATAGCAGGAAAAAAAAAAAAAGCCAATTAGTAAGAAGTGCCACAATAACCTTTGTCAGGATAAATTTAATGTATAGGGCTCAGAGATAGTTCCTATGGCAACCAGAGGCACTTGCAAGGTACCATTAATGAGAAATGCAGTATCTGTCACACAAGGAACGAGATGCAGCAGCAGCCTGGCAGGCTATTTAAAGATCCTGTTTTCCTCCCTGCCCCCTTTTCTTCAAAGAGCAGCAGGAAAATAAACTACTACTCAAGTAGCTTTATTATGTGTAATTTTCTAATTTCGTATTCTCTTGCCACTCCTCCAGTCACTGAACTGTTCAGACCTCAATGTAAGCTTTATTCAAACTGAACAGATCGCATTTGCGGCCGTAACCCACATTTTGCCTACTTTTGGCAAAATGAACTTCGCTCCCAACGTGCACAAAGCTGCAAGACGTGAAACGCTTCGCCCAGGGACCCCAAAGATACGGTCACAGGCCTTACAATTAAAAAATATGGTTTCATTGTCCACAGGAGACAGACATTGTGAAATTAAGATATACGTTCATTAAAAACTGCCTGTTTTGATAACAGTGTTCATCTGTTATTTTTACAGAATATTGTTGGAAATTATTTCAGATGTAGCTTTGATGTTTTCTCCAAATGCACACAAACAAGGATTCGGTGTGAACAGCTTTAAAACCAGAGGTTTCTCTATTTTATACACAAAGTCCACTTCCACTTTTGGTATGTATGAAAAACCATCACAAATGTGGACTGACAAGCCTCCATTAACTTGGTACTATAACACCCACAGAATAACACAGTTCATATCAGGGCCTTAAAACATGGCAAATCATCATAATAGTGCGTTTTTCAGGATTGTGAGAAATAACCAAGTGTGTGCAGCCACAGCTCCTTTATTTAGCATCACTAACTACAGGACGGGATGGAAAGGCTTCTTCTAATATACTGCCATTCTCAAAACCTGGGCCAGGTGAAAGAGGTATTTCAACCACGCCAGGATCACAGGGATACAGCTGGTTTATATGAACTGTCCTTCACTGCTCTTACCCCCACTCTCAATGCAGGTAAGTTCCCAGAAACCTTGTTCTCTACGCCATTTGAAGTTTCTCCTTGATCAGTCTTGGTTTCATTCACCCCAACCTGAAGAATCCTATAACAAAGACTTTAAGAGCTCAGAAAGAGCTGTGAATTATCATTATCATCATAATTATCATTATCAAACTGTACTTGATCATTTATCAATCCCAAACAGGCAGCTTTCATTTTAAACATTTTGAGTTTCATACTAAATCTTTCTTTAAGTAATAAATCTCCTAAAATTAAGCACTCAAGAGCACAGTACAACAGATCAAAGGCAGTTTGGGATTCAAGTAGGTTAAATGTGGCCCTGCCAAGCTTTTGCACTGGCATTAGCAGGTGTTAGACCTCCTTGAAGCTGCTAAAGCTCTGCCAGCTCACTGGGAGATGTACAACTCATTAACACCTTTTTGATATAAAAGATAAGGCTGACAACAGAGGTAAACCTGGAAGGAAACTTTGGCGATCAGCTGAGATGCTGGGGCCTCATTAATCAAAGGGAAAGATTTTAGCTGAGATGCATCCATGGCCAGGATTTTATAACACGTGCTTCACAGCAACTGTTAGCAGAATTATTATTCTGCCATGTGCTCTGTGGAGTTACACTGCAATTGGAAATGAAAAAACAATAGACAAAGAATAAACATTTTGGAAAAAAATACAGATGACCTGGTAAGCTGTAAGTTGAAACAATTTAGAGAGAAAAAAAAATTCTTCTTACAAACGATGACTAGGTAGATTCTTTCCAAAGCCAAATTAGTTCCTGAAGACTTACACAGAGGAAAAATGATTTTAATTGTATTTTAATTGTGGCATGCAGCCAAACTAAACCACTGGTCAAACTCTGCTGTTATACCAGGTGTAGCTAGTTTCAAGACATACCCGAATTTATCCAAACTGCAATTTTTAGCTTTGTCATGTGACTTGTAATACTTTCAACTGATTCAAAAAATGTTAAAGGTTACTGTTCCTGCCTGTCCACTGCTTTTCCTCTTACATTTCTGATGTGTGCCAGCTTGCTTTATTTTATTTTTTTCTCAAGTCTAATAGCAGCGACACTTCTCTGTGCTCTTCCTACCATGCTAGTCTGGCAAAGAACTTGTTACATTAACTTCAGTGAGCTTTCTCAGATGTGCTGCTCTGCTGTGTGGATGATGAAGGTCCCAACCCAAGAAACGACCAGGTTAATCCACATGGATATACTCAGCAACCTCAGATAAGCATGGGACTGTGTAATTTCACAGAATCACAGAATTTCTAGGTTGGAAGAGACCTCAAGATCATCAAGTCCAACCTCTAACCTAACACTAACAGTCCCCACTAAACCATATCCCTAAGCTCTACATCTAAACGTCTTTTGAAGACTTCCAGGGATGGTGACTCCACCACCTCCCTGGGCAGCCCGTTCCCGTGCCTCACAACCCTTTCAGTAAAGAAATTCTTCCTAACATCTAACCTAAAACTCCCCTGGCGTAACTTTAGCCCATTCCCCCTCGTCCTGTCACCAGGCACATGGGAGAACAGGCCAACCCCCACCTCTCTACAGCCTCCTTTAATGTACTTATACAGAGCAATACTTATACAGAGCAATTTCCACCCATTTTAATTCACTAATTATTAACAGCGTTAAACAGCAAGTATTAAGAGGTATCAGTAGAACAGAAAGAAAGAGGTATTAAATGTTAGAATAGAGGTATTAAATGTTAGAATAAAGAAAAGACTATAGAAAGAGGTATTGATAAACAAAAGCATGAATAGTTAGTTGAAACTCTTTAACTGGACATTCCTATTTTATAAACCCAACATTTAGGTATATTAAAGGTTTGTATTTCTAAATCTCAGAAGCATGTTAGAGGATTAACGTAACAAGGAAAACAAATTCAAGACAATCATCACCACATAGTCTCAGAATACGGTACAATATTGCAGGATGTGTAGAAAACAAGGTCAAATTACAGATGCAATGAATGCTTTCACCCATGTTTCTTTTCAAATTAAGAACAACTGGCCTAGAGTAAAATTCAATTTTCAGAAAGAATTATGATTTTTAGAAAGTTTAATCTTTCCAAAGTATGAAACGAAGCTGCTTTTATACTTTAATATGACGATGTGATAATGCTTCTTAAAACTGGCAGGATTATAAACTAAAAGAAAGGAACCAAAAAAAAAACAAAAAAAAAAAAACAAAAAAATAAACAACAACAAAACAACAAAAAAAAACAGTACATTTCACTGTTTGTCAACCCCCAAGAAAAATTTCTATTCCAAATGGTGACAGAATATTAATGTGCAACACGAAGGCATTCTGGATTTAAAAAGCATAATTTCAGGGGGAAATAATTTCCCAGAGAAGTGAAAACATCCTACCACGTGCTGATTTTTAAAATGTCTATTTAAAAGGATGGTTGGCTTGTATTCGACTCCTATTGAATGCTGAGCAGAGGTTTTTGTAGATGTACGTATTAAAATCCACATCCAGTTCCTGAGAGGTAAAAGACAGCCCAGAGCTCATCTGGGCTATTTGAAGCTATTCACTATTTAAAGGTTGGATTCTTCTTCCACCCTGTTCATTGCTTTGGATTTATTACCTCTGAGTTTCGTCTGCTATTTGATCACCTCGTCCTTCTGTAATTCCTTGCAGCTGGCTTCCCACTCTACAGCCCCCGATTTACTCACAGGGCACTTCCCAGCCCCCTGCTCGCTCCTTTTCCCACTCAGTTTCCAGGAAGGCCGAGCAGCACAGGGCCCAGCATGGATCCCAAAAGGACTCCATCGATGGCTTTACTTCTACAATTAACAAAATGATTATTCACTCCTCTGTCACCTTTCTCTTAACCAAGTAATAACTCTCATTTCTTACCCCACAGCAGCTCTGATTCTCTATCAGCCTTTGGTGAGGAACATTGTCACATGCCAACAGGTACATTAATTAGGTCAGCCTTACCCACAAGCTTGTTAATGCCTTAACAGAACTTAAATGGATTTATAAGCTAAAACTTCCTTGCTTAAAAACATGTTTACTCTTTTCTAATTCAGCACTTATCCACTGCAGATGTACACAGAAAAAAAATGGGAAGAAACCTGTAATTAACCTTCTTTACAAGTTCCCTGAGGGTACGTACTCACGACTCAACATGTCAAACCTGGAGTGTTTCCAAAATGTTGGCATCTTTCATAGCCCAAAAGCACTGTATAAGACAAGGAGTAATTTTCAACGTGCAGATATGAAGGCTTCAAACACACCTACAGCACTGGACAGAGATGACAGCACCACAGGATTCTGATTTAGGGTTACTCTACCTTCAGTAACGCTCCTTCTGAGGGACAGACAATTAAACCACTCCAGTGATTTCATTTGAGGACTGACTATTATTCTTTAAAAATCCAAAGCTAGAGCGGAATTCTTCATTTTTACTGCTCTTTCCAACTGTAAGGAAACAAATTAGAAGCAGTAGGCATTTTCCAAAACTGAGCAAATGCGCTTTGAAGGCCACGCTGTTGACTTAAGAGCGTACCGAGCCACCAAGAGGGACATCTCCCTTGGGAAGACCCAGCCACCGAAAGGGTGGCTGGAGGGGAGAGACTAAATGAACAAAAATAAGGGAAGATATTGGGCTTCACACCACATCACTGCCTGCCAAGGTTTCACGTTGCTTCTCCAGTGACTGCCAGGGACGGCAGTCGTACAGACAGATTAATACTGAAGCTGACGGTACCTAAAATGAATGCATTTGAAACTCTCAGCCAAGAAATCAGGTTTTGTTACTGTTATTTAATCAAATTCACTTGCGGAGGTATCAGCATAAGCGAATATCGTGATACAACATGACAGCTACTTTGTCTTGCGTGTTCTTATTTTGGCCATCTTTCCTAAAGCACTGGGTATTTTTCAGTGGGGTGAGGAAGGATTGGTCTAACTTTCTGAAGGGTAAAAATTGCATTAAAAGGATTTTCAAAAGAAAATAAAGACTCAGTTTCAAAGTTCTGAAAACACCTCTACGACAGCAAAATGGAAACATCGTAAAAAAAAAATAGGCTTTATACACCAGAGCATTTACACAGCATCTTTCAGACTTCTTCAGATTGTTGTTGTTTTAGCTTGTGGCTCCAGATAATGAAAGAAGAAGGAAATGGATGTCAAGACTGAAGAATAAATTCAAACTACCGAGGCACTAATTCTGATTGACTTTTCTCTTTGAAGGAAAGGCTCATAAAACAGCTATTTTAATTACACTTTTGATCATCTAAAATAAATTAATAGGAATCGGGTATTTTCATTTCCAACTTCAGGAAGCCGATGCCACGCCATCGTGATCTTTTGCAGAAGATCAGAGAGCAGGCAGAAAGCCAAATCAGTGCAACACTGAAGTGCAACTTTAATAAATCCTTTGGCTGTTAAACCAGCCTAACTGGCAGTCATTCAAGACAATCTTCTTTCATCCCATTAACGCAGTCACCATGTCACCACCACCGCAAAACACAGCAAGTGCTCCTAAATACAGGCAGTGCTATAGGCTGAATTCATCTATTTAACTAGAGATATCGGTGTGACCTAGAGCTAGGTGTGACCTAGAGCTGTACCTGCACCCAAATGCTCACTCTTCTACTGGCAGAAAGAAGAAAAATGTCCTGAAATGTGTTGGTAGTTTTTTTCCCCTAAAAACAGAGGTGATGGTTAATTAGGAAATGGACAAAATCTATTAAGTTCCCTTCACAGTTTGAACCTACAGCCTAAAAAGGTTCTACATCAAGATACCCTTCCCTCCGTATTTCCAAGTCTCCAAATAAAATAAGAAGTAATCAAACATACAAAGAAGGACCACGTAAATGCATGCTACTTTCAATAACAGACTACTTAAAGTAATATGGGTCTGGAGGCCAAGAGCTTTAAACGTAAACTGGCACTATGCCTTCTGTTCCAGATGAAAAATAAGGGAAGAAAGGGTAAGGAAAGGGATTAATCGTCTGGAAGCAATAATAATAATGACAGAATAGGCCAAATGTTGGTAAGACAAAGTCTTAGAGGACAAGAGAAAGTGATAGAGGAACCAAGTCATATGGGCACCTGCCTGGCGGGAACAACAAAACTCTGTTGGCTTTGGGAAGAATGAGCAAGTTTCCAATGAGCAGCTAGATTTGCAAATCAAAGAATATTTTAGGTTGGAAGAGACCAATGGAGGCCGTAAGGTTCAAACCTTCATTCAAAGCACAGCTAGCCTGGAAGTCGGCCCCAAAGATCCACATCTGCAGCCCAACAGCATACAAGAAATATTTATTTATTTTTTTACAAACCCGCTCTGATCCAGGCAGTTTCCTTTGGCCATCATAGGTTAGGTAGCATTGCGTTCAACTAGGTTGGAAGGAATCAAGAAATAATCTCTTCAACAGCAACGTTTGCAGCCTACCTTGAGTGTGCTCCATAAGGGAAGTCTGACAGGATTTGGGGTTGTGGCAACTACATGAGTAGAGCTGCAGATATGTACCTCCCTACCCAGTAGGGCTCGTCCAGATGGCATCTCTTTTTACTTAATGGTTGTCTATCATCATTTCTTTCACACCTAGGTTTCTAACTTGGAGTTCGCTGTAATAGTGCATTAAAATTTGACATGTGACAACATGGAACTATAGGGTGAGAGACAGCAAGGACCTATCTCAGTTGTGCTCACTACGAAGCAGGTTCAGGACAAAACAGAAATTTTGATTAACTTTCTGTCTCACAGAATTAGCGACAAACTTTGGTAGAAAAAACATGTTTGTTAACACTACTGACCCTTCTCCTTCAAGTAGGAAATCCACTAAAAAACAAGAATAGACAACCCAATTTTTTTTTCTGTGGATTCATTTCTTCCCGTGGATATTGCTGTTTTTCATTTAATGAGATTAATTTCACTAATTTCTAGTGAAAGGCTCATAATGGTCAGGCTTCAATGCCACGTTTTTCCATCATCCCTCAGTGCTGAAACACGGTCTTTCTAAAACCACAGTACAAACCTATAGGCACCAATATGTGTGAATTAAGAGCAAGCACAATTTGATTTACAGGAAGCAGTACTTTTTTTCCTGTTTAGCTTTTTGATCCATTCTTATCTACCAAAAAAAGTATTTATGAATTTTCTTACATTCTTCCCTCTTCTCCCCACGTATCTTGCGCAAAAAATGAAAAATAAATGAAGAAGTACTAGCACTTCACTCTTTTTCTTAATATACATGTACTTTGTTGGATGCCTCCACTTAGACTGCTAGTTACTAAGGACCAAATTCTGTTTCCCTCTGTAAGTGTCCAGCATCCACAAACTTCAGTAAATGAATGTTTTTTCCCAAGTATTGATGAAACGAAGACAGGAAGAACCCTGGCTTCTCCTACAAAAAAGCTCCTTTACCAATAAATAAATAAAAATCTAAATCTGAATTCTGAAATCAATTGTTTTTTTCAAGAGAGATTTTTTTGAACCCTTGTTTCCTACAGCCAGTGCTCTAGTTAAGATTTAAGGCAGAAATAAAGATAACTATCAGATTTGGAGTAATTTACAGATCATCTAAAACTAGGATAAAAAACTCATACAATACCTAAGTGTTATTTTGTATAGAGGCCAACCTATCTAACCATGTTTATGTTATATCTTATTAAACTTAATAAATCCTGTCAGAGACAAACTTGGCCTACACTCACAAACCTCCTGTTCCCCTAGCTGAGTACACAAAATATTAGGAACGGTGCAAATTTGGTCTGTTAAGGTCAAGTCAATGTTCAAAGATGTCAGAAAAACTGCCATGCAGGCTAGATCCAGCTGGTTTGCCGCTGACTTAGAAAAGCAGTCAAATCGCTTACACCTACTTTTGAGAAAGTGGGAATAGCAAAAAGACCTTACGAGGAGTCACACACCACCGAAACAGCTGCCTACCCAGCACAGCACCCTCCAGGTGCTGAAGTCAATACACCAAGGTTTTCAGATGAGGCTGAAGGAAGAAAACAGCCTTGGAGTAGACAAATACAGGAAAGACTACCTAAAGGTTGCTCTCTCCGTAACAACTAGGCAAGAGGGGTTTATCTGTGCTCCAAGTTATCGCAGTTTTGACAGACACAGAAATGCTAAATTCAAATGTTGATCCTAAGAAAGAGATGTCGATGTTTTCTCATCGACAATTGCAGGGACACAGCACTTAAAAAGGTCTTCCTGTTGGAAGGTGCAGCAATTGCAGGCAGGTCTTTAGCCATTCAGCTGAGGACACCTTCGACAAAGCCAGGTCCTTTGCCTCTTGCTTCTCAGCAAGGAAAACTGCTTGATGATCTGATGTCTGAGGCTTGGAAGTCTCTTCGTTTCTAGCTTTATTCATAGATAGCTCAAAGCCAAGTTTTTCCTGGTGTTCTCACCTCCCTTGACATTTAAAAGAGAGCCCAGCCCGTCTTTGTCCCCAGCTTGACAGAACACATTAATAAACCCTTTTAACTTTTACTGCTCTTATCAAACCGAATTCTAGGTCTACATCACTTTGACCAGTTGTCTGTATCTTCTACCATGTGATCTCGTCTTTCTTATATTCATGTGGCCAGAAATGTTGTAATTCTCAACTACTGTTCCATGTTTCCATTTGCTGGTCATATTCCCTGATCACATTTGTTGTTTTTTTTGCAGCACACTCCCATGGAGGACCCACAATCATCGTGTGATATCACCCACCATCCCCTCACACCTTACCAGAGAAGCAGGTTCCTTTCACAGAAGGGATTTCTTCAGTGCTTTAACCACAAAGCAATCCAAATTTAAGTTTCTCTTGATCGTTCCCTTTATTTCTTTTTATTTCTTTATTATTCTGACTTGACAGCCTATCATTTTTGCAGATCTTTTAAGTAAAGTCTCCAGTTTTTGGTAAGTGCTATGAAATAAATATAAACATTAAAAGTGGACCATGATATTGATCTGAGCAGTGCTAGACACATCACTCTTCCCTACCCAAAGTAATATTTCTTTGCTATTAGTAAAAATAAATAAAATAAATAAATAAATAAATAAAATAAATAAAATAAAAATGGCAAACTTTAAGCATCTGAGCTATGTATTTAACAACTGTCAAGGAAACAAACACTATTACCCTGAAAACAGGAGGTGATTTTTTTATGTTTGGGTTATTACAACCTTTGGTATTTTTTAAAATCAGCTTGAAGCATCCTCAAAAACTTCCAGCTCGTCATGTTTTTAATGTGAAGAGCTGGGGAAACTGCTGTGAAGTTGATGACAGCAAGGCCTTAATCATAGTGGCTTTGTCCTTAAAAAAAACAAACTATAACAGCGACATAAGGAAGACATAATTAATCTCTCATACAGACAACATGCCCTGTCACAATCAAAAGCACAAATTAAACATTGACTTAGCAGCTGTGAGCAATAACAAGCAGGATTTACTTACACATAGACAATACATTTATTAAGGGAACTTACTGATGGGTTAGAAAAAGCAAGAATTTTTAACTTCTCCTACCCTTTGGAAGAGGACTT